CTCTCTCCCTCCCTCCCACACTGGTCCATGCATCAACAGCTCTACGCTAAATGTGTGCTAACAGTCCAGCCGTGAAGACATCCACGGGACAGTTTTTGAGATTTATTCAAATGCCGTTGCCATGGCAACACAATGCTCACCATGAAACACGGTTTTCTCACAACTTCAGTTCAAATGCTCCAAACGGCCCAAACCTTCACAGGTTTGGTAACGATGCAGCCATCAACGCATCTAAGCGTATTATGGGATGTCATCAAATGCTGTTGGCATGGCGACAGATCATTCACCATCAAGTTAGTTCAAAAGTTTGCAGTTCAAATACTCTGCTGCTTTTCCAAGCCTTTTTACTTTCTTTTTTCTCTCATCACATATTCAAGCCCCCAGTGTTCATGTATCATTTCAAATTGAAATTCTTCACTTTCTTCTTACATTTCAGCATAGCATTTTAGCGTCAGATTTTCAGCATAAAGTATTCCCACTAGCAATTTCTTCAGGAATTGCATTCTCTAGTTTCAATTGATGTTGACACCATCTCACAACACTCCTAAAATAACATTACTTTCTGAAGCGCAATTTAAAATGTATGCTGTTTAAAATCTCAAATTAGATCTATTGTCCATCTATATTTTGATTATTATTTATTTAATGGAAACCGTCCATAATCAAAGAGTCATTCGAAGTCAATCAAATACTTATTTCACTTCAGGGTGATAGCAGGAGACCCCATCTAGTCACTCAGAGAAAATCAGGACAATCTGATGAAGAATTTCAAAATAAAATACTTTTGAAATCTCATATATGGGCTATCGTCCTTCTGTTTTTATACAAGAATAAATAAAAAACTGTCAAATTATCAAAGACTTATTTCACTCCAGGGTGATAGCAGGACACCCCATCTAGTCACTCAGAGAGAATCTGGACAATCTGATGTACAGTTTCAAAATAAAAGATCTATGAAGTCTCATATATGAGCTATCGTCCTTCTGTTTGTATCCAACAATTAAAATGTTCGAATTACATTAAACCAGAATTGTCCCCCTTTTTTCTTTAACAGTGAAGAAAATTGGATATGTTAATGATATATTGACCGCAAAACTCAAAATGTTAATTTTGAAAATCTGGTCACCTTACATTGAACAGTCTAAACAGCTATCTTGTCTGTCCACAGTTAAAACATATATACATTAACCTTTTAACTACCGTTATAGCTGTCTTATTTGAATAATGCTTTGTGTTTGTTTTAAGAGGGCTTTATAACTCTGGCAGAGCTAGTGTTATGGCTGCCGGATTTGGCACCTCCTCTGTAACTTCAGCTGGGATGGTCATAGCCTCACCAAAATCACACTGGTGTTCATTATTCCCATCTAGTGTACGCTAAAAAGTCCCAACATGAACAAGGACATTTATTTTAGGGACATCCACCTATACTGTTCAACGTCTCTGGTGATAGTTTGCGTGGTTTTTGTCTCTCTACAGAATTGCACCAATTCTGGTAACAACACTTTGTACTTAGGAAGACTTCCGGATAGACCTTTTTTTTTTACTAGGACGACAGAAAAAACACCAGTCCAAGACTTGGATTAATGATGGCTTGATTACATTAAGGCTCCTGGTATTGTGCATGCTGGTTTATTGTTGCGACTTGCAGAGCCATTGGTAAGGTTATTAGAAACACTTACCCGTGCCTTTCCTACTATAACAAGCCAAGATGTTTGCCGTCAAAGAGGCTGACACACTGTTTGTTGCAAAAAATTGTTCTAGTACATCAATCTCACTTAAACTTTTTTAAAGTAATTTTCTTTGTTTGTTAGACAAAATACAACAGTTCAGTTTTTCAGATCCAAGACAGGCTAGCTGTTGAACCTTTGCTTTCTGTCTTATGTCTACGCTAACGTACCTTCACCCCAGACGTGAAAGTATTACTGGAGGCACCAGGAAGCAGCAAGCCTCCAAAGTCAGAAACAAATAAATCAAACATCACTTCTACATTTGATTGATTAAAATGTAATACGTTGTTGATCAAACAATCAAAATCCAAATGTGTAAGTTATTTCTTGGCTGAGCTAAATTCTTTTTTACTATATGTAGCCGGTCTGGGCCTACTTCTCAGCAGACCCTTGCTACGACTCTGCGTTGTGTTGTGCGTGTTTGATGGACAAGGAGATTCGGTTGTTGTCTTTAACCGAAACTGTGGCGTATTTATTCCTCTGCATGAAATAAACACAATAATGCAGCAGCATTAATACACATGGACGTCTGCAACACACCAGTCTCAGTCTGCCGTACAAACAACTGAGAGACTAGTACTTATAAAACATTCAGATATCAAATCTGTCACAATAGATCACAATACACTGTACAATTACAGTTACACTGGAAATGTATACACCACCGGCTAATTAGTATTTTTAGACATGTAAATAAAACAATAAAATAAACACATAGTACAAAACACAATAGACCAAAAATATGGGAGCAACAAATATACCTGCATGAAATAAACACAATAATGCAGCAGCATTAATACACATGGACGTCTGCAACACACCAGTCTGTGGTGGGGAAAAGACGCCATTAAACATGCTGCAGGTGCTGTGTGTGAGTCCTCACAAGTGCTGCTAAACAGTACACTTAACTAAAAGTTTGCTAAAAACACTCAAACTTCTGCAAAACAACTACACAGCAACACATTAGCACCATGGAATGATATTATAACCTTGTTTCACAGTTTAAGATTATATAATCACTGTAAACATCATTTAGAACAGAAATCTACAAAGAGCACATGACAAACTCTCCTCACCTCAGTCTGCCATACAAACAACTGAGTGAGAGAGGGTGCAACGCAGGTAGATGACGTCACTGCCGAAAGTGAAGACTTCAAAATAAAAGCATTAGCTCCCAAAACGGTCTTTTGTAGTAAACATACCAAAATAAAAGTGACAATAAATAATATTGGAACAATAAAATAAAACGTGAGGGATTATTGGTGGAATGCATTCCTGTATATTTATATACCTGCTACATTCACCCCTCCTGAAT